ATGTGAGGAGGGGGCGAGCAGTGAAGGGTCTGAGGCGTTTGCCAGATGTTTGTGTTTGGTACGGTTTGGTTTCTGGTCTGTGCCAGTGGAAACCATAAAAGCAACTATCCTCTGTCACCTGCCGTTTCGTCGTCTGCAGCAGACTAAATGGTGTCAAATGACAAAATGCAGCGTGAAATGCAAAAAAAAAAAAAAAAAAAAAAAATGGAAAAAAATAGTAAATGAAAATGGAAAATGGGAAACCCCTGCTCATGTGGGCTGCATGATCAGATCTCGTGTGTAAATATTTATTTGAATTTGAATTTTGTTTTGCATTAGTGGAAACAAACATTTCAGCAAGTGAAAAATACAAACAAATTAAGAAAATATTTAAAATTTTATTATAAGTTTATGGGCAACGATTCTCATTTGGTTTGGAAAAAATATAGAAAAAAAGAATTAAAAAAATATTTAAAATATTTGAAAAAGAATACATATAAATTATAGGAATATTTACCAATAACCTTCTACATTTTCATTTAGTCATTAGAAATGCCATTAAAAATGCAGGAAAAATAATCAAGTGTTTTAGGCTTACTATAAATTTGAAAGCATTTAGTATCAATTGTTTTGCTCTCTCAACTATAATATTTCAACAATAACTTCAGTGTATACGCACAAGCACTCATTTTAATCATGGCATAGACTTACCGTTTTATTCGGTCTTATGATAACTCAGAAACATATCGTGCAATCCAGAACAAAAGAAACCCCTTTTGGACAATGAAATTTTATGCGCTTGTTTGAGCTTCATTTTCCTTGCACTTCACGCAATTCAAAGGACCTCAGGCAGGCTGGGAGCCAGACGATAACTGCGAGGTGTCCTGCGTGCGCATAAAACCTAAAGGTCCCTCTGGGTAGATTAAACACGTACACGATATTGTCTATATATACACACACACTTTTTATGTATGTATACATAGTTTGCGGTCTTAGTTATCTAACACGTGTAGTTCAGTGCAATTGTTGTCGGGGGATTATGGCGCAGTGTAAGCTGACGCCTGCAAGTATGCTTTAAAAATTATTGCACTAGATTCTCGCCATCATAGCACAGCTATCGTATATATAAATATGTATAGCGATAAAAATACTTACATCGATAAATTGTGCGGCTCGTGTACTTTTATTTCTCGTAAACTTGACATTTTACAGAGCCATGAAATATTGTCCAGCCAAAAGTGTTGGCTATTAAAATGTTATATGGCCAATAACAAATTACAATGATTTTTGAGGAAAGCACTTAAGGATTGTGTACATCCTAACTATTAGAGTTGAGTATCTTCGTCTGCTAGATACCCATTGATACTTTAAGTTATTACTAGGAATTGCACTGTGGTTGAAGTAGGTTGCTTCAAAAACATATTACGGTTAATCGTTTTATGCACCTGAAACTACATTTCGAATTTCGTTTTTAAATTGAATTGTAGGCTAAATAAATCAGACTGTGCTCAACTAGTTTTCATTTTCATTATTTCTTTTATATCTTATCTTATAACTATTAATTGAGACTACATGAACATTCAAGCCGAATCTGTTAATAATTTTCATGTATGAAAGCCAGGCGTAATTGCATTCACAATTCAATTAACTATCTTAATGCGTAATCACATATGCAACCATTAAGCCAACTCCATCATTGTCAACTTCAGGTTGAGCGCAGGTTTAATGAAATTAATTACAAAGTTTAATCAATGGGAGCGAGCTCTAACGGCGCCCGTCAGCAGGCTTATCAGGATTTTAATGTCAATGCGCTCGCAGAAACGACAATTGCCCATCCCGAGCCGAGCCGAAACTTTAATATGCAATTGAATTCAATTTATACTGTTTCAATTTTCGCTTGTGGCATTCTGTAGAGCAGCTGGCAAACCGTGTTTAACCGCAATTGGGAAAAAACAATTTCATTCCGTGGCTTAAAATAGCAACGTGAAAGCCCGCTGAAAATTACATTTTAAATAAGCTTTTGGCGCACCGCAATAGTAAAATGTTTTCAAATATTTATGCAATAATAAAGAAAAACACGTTTTGCATTTTGAGGCTGCTATCAATTGAGCGCAACGCACATAAATCAGCTGGCAAATTTATGCGCTGCCTGCCGCAGGTTTCCCTCATCCTTGACATGATAAATGGCTGCAGCATGGAAAAAAAAAGAGAAAAGCATGTGTTATAAGCAGGGGCAGCTGTTGCTGCCACGTGCCAACGCGCCAACGCGCTGCAGCTCACCCGCTGCCAATTCGAATGACAAAGGTGGCTTAAAGGTAGCTCGCATACACTCGCACACCTTCAATTAATCGATTAAAGTGTTCATTCTCTCCATTATGCATGAGTTGCGGCGGTTCTACAAAAATACTTGGCTATGGGGTGGCTGGGTTTTTATATCCATACCCGTGCAACTCCCATGAGGTTGGTTAGGAAATGCTTTGAAAATTGTTTGTTAAAGTTATTTATTGTCTGACGAATTGATTTTTACTAAACTTTTTAATGGCAGTCGATTGGGTGGCCAGACAGAAATATATGTCAAGCGCCTGTCTAGACGGTTTTAAAGGACCTGGCTGCCAATTAGGTTAATTGGCTGGGCGCTATGTGTTCACTAAACGAGGCTTCAAACTACATTTGCGATCAAATTAATGGGTGTGGTCGTACACATGGTATCGAGTAATACAAATCTGAAAAACAGTCGTTGGGTAGAGTAGAGTAAGAAATGTAAGATATGGGTTGCGGGTCTTCATGAAAAGTGAATACTCTGTTCATAATTCAGAACTATTTTGAGTTATTTTCAATAGGTTTACCTTATATACCTAAGTCTACTAAACGAATGAACGAATGTTCTATAACAGCCCTAAAAAGGTATTTGAAGTGATATGGAAGAAGCAGAGCAGATGCTTTCGGATTTAACAGTTTTTTTGTGTTTTGTTTTATTTTATATTTTTAATCATTAAAAGTGCTTTTAGATAATATTCACTTTCAATAAGAATTTAATTTATATTATATATGTTTTCATAGAATCCTAGGAATTTGTATATATATATGTATATTATTGATAACGATTTAATTAATTGCAAAACATTTTGGATTTAAGGTATTATCCATTGCCCTAAGCACTTTTATATATCTTAAATGATTATAAATCAAGTATATCAGGTGTTTTTAGGAAACAAGTCATTATCCATTTAATATATTATAATGTAATGCACAAACAAATTGAGTTAATTTTAAATCTGCTTGCCAAATTGATTGAGTGGCTTTTTGGGCAATCATTTGGAATGCCACGATTAGCTGTTAAGCGCCGAGACCTACTTAAAAATTAAAATTAAACAATGCCAGGACCCCGGCTGGGTCCTGCATGAATAATGCCTCACAGATGTCGTTGGCTTTGCGTGCCGAGTGGTAATTATTTGTACTGTGCCACAGAAATGGAACGCTCTACGACCGTCAAGAAACAATGCGCACCCCATAAGCAACTGGCAGCACAGATAGCCAGGAAAGGGCGCTCGGCCAAGTTAGTGCCGAAAACAAAAGCAAAAACAATACGAAATTGACGCCATAATTAACTCCACAAACTGTCCAACTAACCGACTGACTGTCTCGCTGGCTGTCCGTCTGTCTGTTTGTCTGCCATTTGCAACCGTTGTCGAGTTTAACACAATTTACAGCTAGTTTATAATCGAAAATGTCCTTAGTCCTCGCTGCAGTTGCTGTCCTTCAATCGATACGAAGCGTACGAACGCCTTTGTCTTTTGTCGTAGCCATAAAGCGCCACTCTTGGCTGTACAAATTGGCTATGGAGCTATGGATTTTCTACTAGCAAGTTCTTCTTAGCAACTTTTCTGCTTCTTCCTCTAGTTGCAATTATCAAATGTTTGCAGCAGCAGTTGAAGAAGGACATGCCCTAACGATTGCCATTGCTGCATTGCAAATGCGACAACCGCATTTTGGCCAAGCGCCCGAACTGCTAGCCAAAACTGGCCAATTGTGCTGCATGACGTTATACATACATATGTGTACATATGCATATATATGTGTGTATGTATGTATATGTGTATTACACATTTCATTTAATTGTTTCGTTGATGGCGCTTGTACATACAAATAGATAAATTTCTGCTGATGTTGTTTTGTGGGCGTTGCGTTTGCCTAATTGTTTTATTTAGCATAAAACAGTGGAAAAATCATGATATTTTAATAGTCTGTAAAAATAATGTCGTGTGAAATGAACATTTAGTAATTTAATTTTAAAATATCTTCTATGGGATTGTCATGAATTTAAATGAAGCAGAGACGATTTCGTATGCATTTAGTAATGCCTAATTAAATTTGCGTGTTTTTAGTAAACAAACACAATATAATTGAGCAAATAAAATAATGCAACTAATTAACAGATCAATAAATAGAATGAATAATAATATTTAATTTATATAATAAACAAATATGCTCAGTTATATTCTCCTTGAGAGTTATTAAGCTTTTTTTTTGGTATTTTTATAAAGCATTAGTATGAGTATAAGGAAGGCATGTATCTATGTCTGTGATAAGCAGTGTGTACATATGTATTTATGTATATAGTTATTATGTAGGCATTTTTAGGTAAATGTGTATAGATATATTGTCTTATTCCCATACATTTGATCCGGCAGTGAAATATAGTCTTTCTCGGCGATTCTCAAAAATGCAAGTTGATTATGAAGAGTTCACTTAGCTTCAGCTAAATGAAATTTTTTTGCTTTATATATATGTATATATATATATATATATATCGATAGAGCTTCAAAGTCTATACATGCATTTAGTAGTATATCAATAAGAACATATTTTTAAGCCAAAAGTCTTGGACTAGTCGTACAATATATTTATGCATTTCTAGAGATAATTCACTCTAATATTATATCAGAGCTCTGCTCTTTCATCGATGACTCAGTTGCGACCCACACTTATTGATTGCATTTTCTTTTCTTATTTACCAGCAGCTCCACTCGGAGTATAGGAGCACTTATCGTTGGCATGAATTTACGGGCCATTCGAGGCCGGAGGTTGTGCGCCGGGCGCCAGCTCCAAATCCAAGTCAATTTGTTGGTGCGTATCAAGCAAATCCTAATCCATGCAGACCAACAGCTTTGTCCACTTATCTGGCTTTGTCATGGCAATACATTGATGCCAATATATTATCTATTTCAACCATTTGTCATTGTGTGTGTCGCCTCTTCTACCCAAATAGGTCCAACAAATGAGCCGCCATTGCCACGTCGGAAAAAATGCCCCGAATTAGCATATAAATCGCACGAGTTTATTATAGGATCCGAATATACAGACGCACGTCGGGATGCCAGTGCGCACCGTTCGGCGAGGGTAAGTACCTCATATAAATATATACATACAAGTATATATATGTATGTATATATGTACATATATATTACAATGTATACAACTCACCTTTGATTCGACCTTGCACGATGCGCGATGCTAGCACAAATATTGCGAACAGTTGCCTGGTGTCAGATGTTGTCTCAATAAATTTTACCTTAGGGGTCTCAAGCGTAGGATTTTTAACCAAAATTTATTATTGATTAAATTAAAGAGAAATATTAAAGAATTGTTGCGCAATAAAATCAGCAAATGAAATGCAAATAAATCTAGTATACAAAAAAAGTACTCAGAAGTAGCAGCTGATTCAGTAGATTTTTATTAATAGGGCAACAAAATTCTATTTTCATACACTAACAAAAACCTTCAGTACATTTTTATTTTATAAGAAGAATCCTTGAACCCTTGTGTGCATTTCTCATTTTTATAAAGCTTATAAGCTTGTATTTATTTATTTTTTTATTTTTTAATGCAGTCACGTTCTGTGCGCATATTTAATGCTCATATATGAGCTGTTGAGAAATGGCTGAATAAAATAAAATAAAATTAAATAAAGTCTGGGTGGTTATGCGCACATTTGTGGGTTCTCGGAAAATTGAGGAGCTGCCATCGTAAAAATTCGTGCGCTGTTGAAACTTCAAGTAGGGCCTACGAGCAAAAAGTAAAGTGTAGGAATTATTAAAAAATTGTAAGCATTTTTTGTTCTTTAACATATTCAGTGAATTTACTTAACTAGCAGTGGTCAGCTATGAACTTATAGATTATATATAAAAAGTTAGACAATTTCTTTGCCTTGGAAATTCATATTTATCTGTTTAATACTGTTTTTAAAACTGATAACATTATATTTAATCTTTTTTTTCTTATTGGAGTATCGAAGTTTTCGATATTTTTAATATTATTAAATAATTGAAAAATATTAAATTAAATGTTATTATTAAATACAAATTTTGTAGTTAACATAGCAAAAGCTCGTAGCCCAATCAACACATTTGGTATTTCGCCAATTTAGCACTATATCAAAGAGTTGAAGTGCAATAGCGCTATATTTGGAGCATTAGTTCCTCTGCATTATTAATCGATAATTAATTTAATTTTATTACGCAATTATCGATGATCACATTAGTTATTTAGAGTACATCGTGACGCTCAGAAGAAATAAACCAACTTATCCTAATCTATATCCCACTTTTTAAGTGCATAGAGTCTTAAAGTCAGCAGCACCCATTAGGTGCCCTCTCTCGGGATTTCTTTATTTATTTTTTTTTGCTAATGCACAATGCGCATTTGGTAAAGGGTCCATTTAAAAATATTATGTGTGCGCAGGTTGACTTTTTGCTTAGTTTGTCATTGAGGTTAATTCGTTTATACAGAAATACGTTCATATATGTATTTACGTATATATATATATCTGTGTGTGTGTGTGTATGTGTGTAAATTTGTGGCCAAAAGCCATTCTCAGTGGTTTCTAATGTCACATAAAAAGGCAGAAATGTGGCTTGGTGGTTGTGCGGTCGGTCGCACTGCCAATGCTAATTAAAAATGCGCACATGTTGCACACAAGGGCACACTTTACTATATATACACACACACATACATATTTATTTGATTATGTATGTACGTGAGTGTGTGTGTCTTTTTATTACACACCCTGGCAATACATAATTAATTGGGTTTCATTTGGGTGCCAGGCTATGCTGCTGTTCAGCTACCTGATCATGTGCGTCAGCATGGCGTATGCGTAATATTAATGAGCTACTAATTAACTTGTGTGTGTGTGTGTGTGTGTCTCCATCTCTCCTCCTTTCCTCTCTCGTTCTCTCTTTCTTTATATTTGCAGTCGGAGGAGCGAGGCACACCCTCGCGCCGCAGCAAATCGGAAGGACCGCCCGTTGTGCCCAATGGCCGCGCTTATCCCATTGCAACGGAGATCGATGGAACTGCAACTAAACAGGTACACAATTGTCAATTGAATGCTGTAGCTAATGTGATACGCATATAATGATGATCGATCAATATCATGTACCTTATATACGTATATATATTTCCAAATGTTGCTATGTGTGCCTGCCGTTATACTAATAATAATATATATATATATATCCTTTACTTATGTTTTGCATGTTTTTTTTTTTTTTTTTTTTTTTTGTAATATAGGGTTGATATTCAATGACTATAGCTGAGAATAACGGAAATTATAAACAAATATTATTAATGATCTAAAATTTCATTAAGAAACAAATGTTGGTTCAGAAATTCCAATTAGATAGTCTTGTTGAATACCTAATATAACTCTACCGAATGATTGAGCAAAAGCCGGAAAATAATAATAATAAAACGATTTCCGTCCGATCGCGAACGAACTCATTGAAGAACTGTCGAAATCAGTTGCTGTCTGAATATTTTCCGTTTGAGTAAAACTTAAGAGAGGGTCAAAGGTTATTTGCGAGCATGGATTAATTCTTTGCGGTTTGAAGTGCAAGAAGAGAGTTTTATAACCTTAAGTTGCACACTCAAAGAATTTAAATTTCTATAGGTGTAAATTTTATAGAAATGAATTATAACAACAACAACAAGCATTAGCAAAGAAAAATCTTCTACAAAATTTAAAAATTAACTAATATGAAACATTAACTGTAACACAAGCCAAGTTTTAGCAATAACGATATGTTTACATATCGTTAGTAACGTTTTTCAGCTTATGTCATTGGGTATCAAATAAATATCCCAGATTTAATCTCTCACTAATGCTCAACTAAGTCTAACATAAATTCTAGCAATCCCTACTTAAAAACTCTTTTTAAATTTTGCAATGCATGTGCTGCATATATGTATGTGGCTTATGGCTACTTATATACTACACAAAGACATATATAAGTATGTGATATGTACATATGTATCCTACTGCGATAAGCTGCAATGGCAACGCCCTATCTCAATTGCGACACGTCCGCAAAGTTGTCAGCCGACAAAATTGCTAACCAGCATGATTTTATGCCTTGTCATGGCGCCACTAGCTAGAAAAGAAAGCAAATATATGAGTATGAAAAGGAACTGTCGCCAATACCGATCCGAGATAGGCTGCGATTCAATGGTCCAATGGACCAGCCATTGGAACCGAGCGCCCAGCGACGCGCAACAATTTCTATTAGTATTTTTTTTCACTGTCGCTGTCTATCGTGATTTACCCGCTCCACCTCAAGCCCATTTTTCTGCTGGGCCTTCACATATTTCCTATTATAGACAAGTTTTATTAGGTGAGTGTGTGTGTGTGTATGTGTATATATAACACATGTCGTTACATTAGTAACTTGTTTCTGTCTCGCCAATGCAGCTATAGGAAACTTATGTAGTAACAGCCAACACACACACACACACACACACACACATCTCTCTCTGTGTGTGTTAGCCATTAAGTTGACGGCCACAGCGTCAGCTAGGCAACCAGACAGAGAGACAGACAGTCAGACAAATAGACACACATACACTCGACCTGAATGTAAATTTTTAATCTGCAAAACTCTTCAACATTTGCATAAGTTGCCTTTACTGCTGTTTATCGATTTTTACTTTTCCGCCATATAACTACTTCTATGTATCCTTGATAAATGTTTCGTATATTATATTTAAGTATGTCTCATTTATGTTCTGGGATTTCTTGTGCATGGGGGTTTCACTTCATATGCTCATGATTGATTACATAAAAGATTTCATCTATAGTTTGTGCTTTAAATTTGATTTGTTTAGATTCACAGCTCTCATAACTTTTCCAAGTGCCACATGATTTTCATTCGATATGTTTTATTTGAATTATTTAATCAAAATTATTATAAATAACTAGCCATAGGATATTGAACTTCAGCTTATGCTGGCTGTGGCTTCCGAAAGTTATGAGACCGAGGAATAGAATCATATATTTTTAAATATTTATAATTTTTAAGAAAATGTCCTTTAAAATTTGAAAATTTTTAATGGTAATATATTTCTTTTTATATATTTGGATATATTATCCTAAATATTATCATGATTGACATTAAGTATACCTATTGAAGAGTTTATATCGATTAGTATTTAATATCAAAATTTACAAATTATACTTGTACTTTGTGTATTTTTCTCTTTCTCTTCCTCTCTTCTCTCTTGTTCCAACTAACATGCTCTCTTTCTCTGTATTTTTCTCAATGTTAACTGTGCCGTGATCGTTCCGTAATTGAACATAACTAATACTAATACTAATGCTAATGCTAATAATAATTGAATTGAATTGAACACTCAATGCGTCAATGCATTTGCTTTCTCTCTCTCTCTTTCTTTTTCTCCTTCTCTCTCTCATTCTCGTTTGTCTCCCTCATTTGTTTGTTTGGTCTTCTCGTCTCTTGTGATTCTGCTCTTCTCTTTCGCAGGCGGGTGAGTCAAATGGCCTATTGAAAAAGACCATCACAAAATTGAGCACTGAGTATCGCCTGCAATTCGTTTGGCCCAATGACCGACGCATTAAGGGCAAAGATTCGACGACGGCGGCCCGAGCCGCGGCCGGCGATTATCCAAGAAAGTCAATATCATTGGGGGCGATCCGATCGGGTCAACAGCCACAACACACACATCAATATCAAACGATAGGTGCCAACGGCATGCCAACGGTGCATAAAAAACGTACAACAAATCAGAAAGAAGGTGCGACAGCAATATGTCGTCGCTAAGCATTTACATACTTATACTACAAAATACATATTTATATATACATATATCCTATTAGCGCATAGTTTCTTTCAATATCTCGTATATGTATCTACTTACTAAAAACAACAACAAATTAACCAATCGAGCGTACTAAAACGAATAATTTTTACATTTGATTTGATTATTACTAATTTTCAACAACTAAAGAAATTGAGATCCAACTAAATTTAAAACTAACTTTTACTAAAAAGTAATTGCTGAGCGCGCATTTAAAGAGTTCTATATATATAGTAAATCTATTCATTTCTTTGTTTTTGAAGATCAAAATAAAAAAAAAAATATATATACATTTTCTGAAATGTCCTTGAATTTACAAAAACCGAAAAAGTATTTACAATTATTTCATGCCTAATATTTCGATGCGTTGACTAGTGTTGGTAAATTACATGTAGCTCAAACATTAATCTTTACAACACTGCCAAAGAAAGAAAAAATGCTATAAATTCGCAAACAATTTTGATTACAAACAAATATCAAACGATTTTCATGTTTTTTATGTATACGTCGTCGTACATTTTTGCTTTTCATCCAAACAGATATAATATTACTAGTTGTATATCGTATGTACGTATATATATATATCGTATATATATATATGTGTATATATATATATACGTAAGTCAAACACTTAGGCTTAAGTCACCCTCGAAATAAACCTTTTTTAAGTACAAATATTTTTATTAATTTTAGTCAACAATTGTTTTTAGGTACACACGAATCTTTCAGTTTTTTACATTTTTAAAGGCATATTTTGGTTTAACGCTTTTGACATTACTAATTATATGTTTTCAAGCAGTTAGCGATCTCTACTCTTTTTCTCTCTCTTTGGAAGTCTCAATATCTATTTCTATATAGAACGAAATTATGCTAAATTCTTTTCCAAAAAAAAAAAAAAAACAAACACTCACACAAGAATATCTTTATAGCAAAATAAATAAAAAAAAAAGTAAAGCTGACGTAAGTGTTGAACTAAATTCATTTATATTAGTTCTAAAAAAAATAAAATACATCAACTACATGGTAAATTACCTGACATATTCATTTCTGTTGATGCAAAGCCGTAAAATTCCATTGATCGATACTTAATTTAATGATAACGAAACTGAAACTGAAACCCGAATTGCCTTGGCTTACCCAAATTACACTATAAAAACCGGAAACGTTCCTGTGCCGCACGTATCAATGCAATTTTACGATATTGATAGCTAAGTATAGTCGGAGCATGCTGTCGCAGGTTGTGTGTTATCTCATTCGTTAAATATATCCTTTTATTGATTTATTGTCAGTTTTTGAGTTGTATAAAGCGTAGGAGTTCCGTTGGCTTTAGTTGAGTTGCATGCGAGAAACGACAAAATGGAATTTGCATTATGCATTATATATCATATTCATTATACCAGCATTAATCGTACATTTCAAGAGGTGTAATACGAGTCTAGCAGCTAGCTGAAGAGGATCAGTACCTCAGAGCAGTTTTTAATATATTTCTTTTCATTTTAATTTAATTAGTTTTTGTTTTCAACTTTACGACTTAATGCAAATAGAAAAGCAAAAATATAAATATAGACAGAGCTGTATTATAATTATATTGAAATATCTTAAAACTCTTATATATATATTTTATTTTCATTTCATATATGTATATCAAAATTAAAATTAATTTATTAAAATAAAATACAGACACATTTCACATAACTCAAATTTACAGTCAAAAAGCCAAGTGGCTAGGTAAGACAATGCAAAAACGTAAGCCAAAATCGAAATGTATATTCATATAATAAAAATTTTACATACTCTATATAGACACCTTATAAATATATATATATTTATACATATATATAAATATCATTTGCAAATAATGATCAAGTGGCTTCCATTGCAAAGCTTTTAAGTCTTGCCTTTATACCTTGAGCTTGAAGAGCTTTTTAGTGCAGCCTGAAAATCGATTGGCCGTAGTGCTTCAAGACAAACAACAACAAAATAAAAACCAACAACTTTTTTTATAAACATAAATTATAAAACATTTAAATATAATATATATACACACTGCGCTGCATTAAACTCGAAATGTTTATATTTTTGTATGTATATTAAAAACAAAATTGGTTCGAATTTCGTTCTATATTCCAAAAAGTGACCCCGAGGCCCCACATAAAGCAAACACGCTTCGAAACATGCAAGCAAATTGTGTACAAACTATAATTTTTCTATTTTCATTCAAACACAAGCTTAGCAAAATATGTGAAAATTTTTTGTTTTAATTTATTATCTTCTGTTTGTTTTTCTTTATTGAGAACTCTGAAATTTGTGCCAGTTTAGCCAGAATCACGACTAACCACTACTAAAAAACACTCACAACCCACCGAACCACCACGAACCCAACGCCTTGCGGCTCATTTGATTTGCTGTACCCAAAATCTCAGTTCGAATCCTTTTTCTTTCAATTTCTTAGCCAGACACTTTTGCAAATATTTATTAAGATTTTATTTTTCGGTTTCCTTCAAGAATACCTATGTCCTTTAGTTAACACTTGAAGCTAATTCAAACTCGTACATGTTTATTTTATTAATCTCTATGTTAATGACGAAAGAAAGAAAGAAAAAAAAAATACAATTGCATTGCTTTTTGTTTTAGATGGTACAGAGTTGTTGAAATCTTTTATCTGTGTGCTTTCAGCTAAACTGCATGAGCTGGAACCTTTGGTTAGCGATACGGATGATAGAAAAACACACGAGAAGTATGATAACAATTTAATAAGCTTTCATTTCTCAATCTCTCAATATCAATATCTCGCATATGCTCATGAGCTTGTACCATACCAGTGATGCCATCAACCAAATCTGTAACATCCAAGGCCAAGACATCATAGACCCACCTACATATATCCATCCAAGCAACAAATAACCCAGCTGCAAAACGTGTCGCACTTGCCACTAACATTCATCTGAATATTATTGTTATTTTCTATCACATACTCTGATTGCCAATGTGTTTTCCACACACAGACAAGTGAATTTTGTGGAGCGCAAAATTGCAACACGTCCGTTCTCGCAAACAATCGATCAGGAGCGTCTCAATCACTTCATTACGAAAAGGGAGAACTTTGGCTTCGCCGATGCCAAGGAGGACAGCAAACAGGGCCAGTTGGTGGTCATGAATGGCAGTGCACCGACGGCCTCGAAAGCAAATTTGGATTTGTGGTTCAAGGATATGGTTGAGCTGCGCAAGAAGGCCGGCGAATATAAGGTGAGTGTCCCCATATGGATTCCTACTCGAATTTATCGCTAAGACATCTCTGACTCTGCAGTGTCGCGGCTGGGGCATAGAGATCGATCCCGAGTTGTATAAGAAGCAACGGGATCTCTGGGATCAGGTTTCCAAGCGCAGCTCACTATCAGCACTGTCCTTAGCATCCACTATGCACAGGTGAGTTAAAATCAAATTCATTGAAATTAGTTTGTAACTAATTGAGTTTGTAGACCTATCACCAAGGAGGAGAAGGAGCAGGAGAATAATAAAAAATCAACGCCATTGCAAAAGCCGACACAGCCACTAAAGCCACGAGTTCCTGGCCAAGCCTATTTGATTGATAATAAGGATGAAATTTCTGCACTGCCAGCACGATTTAGCAATATACGCCATCACTTGGAGCGCACCACGGGTCCGGGTAAGCATACGAAGAAAGTTTAATCGAATTCATTTAAGGAAAGAACCAAAAAAAGGGGGGAGTATTAGTTGAGTTCTTTGGAGTACTTCCTACTCGACTCGTCGTGCCTTCAGCCGCAATTCTCTAATTCCATTTTACATTGAATTTAACAGATGTTGAAGAGGGAGCCTTGTTGCCTTCACCCACGCGGGAGAAACTGATGCCAGCTATGACCAAACGTGAGTCAGAATCTCAACGCGGCAGCCCCAAGAAGACGGCTCTCTCGCGTCACGGTTCGCCGCAGAAGGGCAGCCCCCAGAAGGGCAGTCCCAAGAAGGTCCTCAAAAGTAAGTAGTTGCCAATCTATTTATTACGTACACTAGATATAATTCTGACTAACTGTAGCAAAAGGTCTACACAACAACAACACTTTAATAGCAAATTTATTTCTAAGCAAACAAATTTGATACATAGCTAATAACACAAAGCACTCCTAGGTATCCACCAATATGATACAGGTCTCAATTGTACACGCCCTAAAATAATACGCCAGATAAAAATTTTTTTTCGTTTCTTTAACTTTTTTTTTTAACAAATAGTTTGCTTTAATGCTTAAAGTGTTTGATTTGCTTTTAACTCTAAGAACTTCCCGTTGGATATTTTTGTTTGCCAACGAATTTTCAATCTACTCTTAAAGTGCACTAAACAAACGTTTTGATTGATGGGACTTGTGCACAATATTTGATTTGAAAGTAGCTTGCTTTAAAGGCAAGTTTCATTTGTTTATTGCGATGTTTATTTTGATGAAAATATATGTTTTTTGTATAGAACGTCTGTACATACTATTTATATACTTATACATTTGATTGAGGTTACTCTTTTGAAGAGCAAATAAATTTTAAATATAAGAGAATCTAAACATATATAAGTTTCCATTGAGATTTTCGGTAATTGCAAATATAAAATAAAATACAAAGTAAATGGGATAGGGGAACTACAGAACTTTATTAAAAAAAAAAAAAATCAATTTTTGACTTATTTAGGAAAAGCTAGAGCGTGCGTTTTAATAAGATAAATGAATTTCCAAAGACTATGCTATTACATTTATCTCTATCATCCTTATCCTGTATATATGTATATTACCTGAAATCAAATTTGAATTGGAATTTCAATGTGCTGGGATATATCCATATATATGTATATATATGTGAGATAATGTATAGCTAGGATTAATTAGTAAACATAATTTGTAGTGTCATGTACTGAACTCTTCACCAACTATGTAGTAGATATTTCACACTCACCTTCATTACTTAAGCAAACTGTTTCAATGCCAAATTAAAAAACTCATACTTTTGTCATTGAAACAAATCGAAAAAAAAAACAAACCAAAAACAACAAAAAACAAACGTATCAATACCAAAAACCACATCTCTTCATCTTCGTTTTGCGTGGTTCAGCACGCTCCCAATCTGTGGGTCCTGGCGCGGTCCACGCTGAGAATGAGTCACCCAAGCGTCAGATACGCTCGGCGAGTCAGGCGCCGACGAGCCGTAAAAAGGTACCGACTGCATCGGCTGGAACTGAACGTAAGCCACGCCCATGTAAGTAGCCAAACGGAGCGCAGATCCATCCCCAACTGAAATTTATGATTAAAAAATAAAAAAGAAAAAAATATATTTACTCCGATACGCGCGTACAGTTATGTTGCGTGCGTTCGTTCATTGCCTTGTGTTTAATCCTGAGTTGATTTTGGTTTTAAAATTAATTTATTCCTAAGTTGCATATACTATATATATACATACATATATATGTATATATGTATAATTGGTTAAGATTAGAATTGTTTAGATTTTGTTGATTAGTTTCATTTGCAATTAATTTAACTATAGTTTTAGTATTTAATCACACACCGCAAGTTTGTTCGTTCATTTCGAAACATACTTCAACTGGATATTTACATAGTTAAGTGTCTAAATAAAAACTAAAATAAACCAAAAAAAAAAAAAAAAAAAAAAACAACAAATATCAAAATAGAAAAAGAAAAAACTAATACGTATAAGGTACGTTCATATTCACTGTTAGCTTAGTCTCTGGTCTTGCGGTTCATTTACTCGTATTTTAATTTTAAGAACTTAATTATCTTTGATTTTTACTCCGAGTATTATTTATTGTTCTGTAATGAAGCGTTTGATTGGTCTTTCGAATAAACATTCTATAGTTTAGCATGTTGAGTGAACAAAATACTAACAAAACAAATAATACTATAAATAAATACAAAACTAAACTTTTAATAATACTACATACTAATACCGTAAATACTAACATATTCAGTGTTGAGCAACGGCTAAAAATTCATTAATTTGTGCGTGTTGTGAATCTAACCCAGTTGATTTTGAAACTATATATACATATGTATGTATATATATGTGTGTATACATAAATAATTTATTTATCAATTTTGCAATAAGTGTGTGGGCGCTAATAACAAGATGTTGTTGGCATTGATGTTTGTGAAAATAACATTTGTGTTCAATATATTAATTATTATATTATGTTATTTATGCATATAACGAAAACGACAAATTTTCTTTGGCCTGCCAAAGTATAAATACCTTTGCAGATATGACATGATCTAAGTACTCAGATATTATTATAATAAAATGCTTGTTTTAAACAGAAAATAAAATTTGATCGAATATATCGAAATATATGCAGATAAAATCATATTTTAGAATTATTCTTTAGAATATTTTACTTACGGAAAAAATTTCTTTAAAGCTAGGTCTAATTGTTTAACGTTTGCTTAGAGCCCAAAGTATAAATAGAAATTTTTGTTTCACATTCAGATGAAAGAGATCAACTTCTGCATTGGTATTTACAATTTCACTTCCCAATGAAATTTATAGAAAACTTAATTTGGGCAATTAACAAAGTTAAGGCAATTTCGCCGATATTTATGTTGGCAAATTGCTAAAGAGGTTATCTTTATGTTAAAAAATTTATCAATTATATTTTCGAGAGTTTCGGACCAATTTTGTTTACTTAATAACTAAGTTATCATAGGTTAATACAATTTTTTATCTCTATGTTCCTGTTAACTAACAAAAAGCGATGAATGGTAGCTTTGTTTTAAGTAGACTAACCCATTTCTGTACCTCTCAACGTAAACTAACAAACGAAGATTTTAAGAACGCGTCTTTTATTTGTTTTATATATAATTTTTTAATACTTCAACAATTATTTGCCTTTATTTGAGTTGCATTTTCAATTCGCCGATAAAGAACAAAAATTAAAATATACATTTTAAACAGAAATTCATATTCAAATTTGTTTTTTCATGTGCCTTTTGTTTTGGTCTGAAAACAAAAACTAAAAAATGACATCTTAAAACCGAACCCGACGCCAAAATCAAAATCGTAAAAACAAAATCGAAAACAAAAACGAACGCAAAAAAATGTTTTTATAGCCACCCTATCCACAACATCCCAATCCCGCATTAAAAGTAGTTCCCTGCCACCGCCTAACGGTAAAGTAGCCGCAGCGCCAACAGCAGCAACCGCAGCAGCAGCAGCAGCCGCCGCTACAGCAACATCAACATCAACCGCCCGTACAGCAGCCTCAGCCCATGCTAATCATGCTAATCAATCACATATATCACAATGCAAGAGCTACAACAAAAGCAACAACAAGAAGCCGGCAGCCAAACAGCAACAGCAACAACAGCAGCAACAACTGCAAATGCGTAAGAAAGACAAAGATAGATCGAATATTAGTTGCATTAGTCAAGTTGGTGCTGGTAGCGAGAGTAGTGCAAATAGTGCGAAGCATCAGCAAAACAAGCAGAGACAGCAACAGCTACAACAACAGTTACAACATCAACAGCAGCCAGTACAAGCTGGTGCATCAACAACAACAACAACAACACCACCAACAGCAACAACAACAACAGCAGCAACAACAACAACAACAGAAACTGCAACGGCACCCACCCGACCTGTCACCATCAACATCAAACGGCTAACGGTACCAGGTCAGGATAGAAAATTGGCTGAAAGTGAGTAAAGTTTGTCCGCAAAACTTGAAAATCAAAAATAAAAACAAAATTCTCTGCAATATAAATTTGATACACCCATAAAAAAAAAACAAAACAAAAATATGATCTAAAATGGAAATGCTGTAAAATGACATCTGAAGCGCGAAATGTTTGTGTTGCAACTTTTGTTAACAAAAACAATAACAAAACAGAAAAGAGACAAAAAAAAAGAAGCATAAAATACTAAATTTAATTACAAATAATTGCGCATTTCACACTTTGTCGAAAAACTGTGTTGTACAACAAATTAGTGTTGAGTAATGAAATTAGCATTATTATTTACGAATTGGTATATTAAAATTGGGCGACATTTACCTCTATGTTATTTGTATCTGTTCGATCAGCCTTGTGGAATTACTCAGTGTGTGTCTGTGTTAGTGAACTGGTATTTATTTTAGACATTGGCAAAAGTTATGGTATTTATTCTGTTTGTGTCCCGTTATTCCACAGGGCTGTATTGAGAGATAATGAAAAATTCTTGTATTTGTTGCAAAGTTGCCTAAAAACCAACAAGCGTTACGTGTTATTTACGTGTTAGTTGTTGTTGTAATCAATGTTTGTACTTGTTGTCTTTGCAGCCGTGTGTCTAAGTCAGCCCAACTATCGTTTCCATCTATGCCTCCTATAATTTGTAGTATTTGAAATCTAGCTTTACTTTTACAAACCACTAGCTTCATTTCATTTTGTCGTGTACTACTCAGTGTTATGTGTCTAATAGTATAAGTAGTTAGACTGTCTAGTATTTTTAGATGTGATTTTTTTTTTTTCATGTATTGTTAATACTATATATATATTTTTTACAATGGAACACCTAACATATACAGTACAACACATTTCGCAGTGCAAACTAAATAAACCAAAAATTCCCTGATTTCCCATTTTCAATGGGTTCAGGGTAAAAGAAATAGGTGAAAAATATCAACTTTAAAGCCAATATAATATAATATGGCTTTTATGTTAAAAAGCTGTTATATTAACATTATTTTAGAGGGGTTTTCAGATTAAATATTTGGACAACGGAATCTTTGATATCCGTTTTCGTAAGTAACATCAAAGAAGTTTTTCAATCAGTATAAAGTAAAGTTAGGCAGAGACATTAATGTATTTAGTACATTATCAAAGGTAATTTTTGTGATATATAAGAGTAATAAAGAAAATAACATTTTGAGATACAGACTTATAGCTCTTAAGATGAAAGGAGTTATTTGACTATTGATGTATCGATATATGGATTATCGATATCTTTGTGCGCTGTCGTCGTTGCCTGTTACACATCCACACGCTTCTGCCAAACCAAACCCAAAACTGAAACTGAACATAAAGAAACTATTTTTCTTATCTGCTCAAAACTCTTTTGCTCTTTATTTTAGTGCGTGCTCTAAGTAGTATTATTTTAAAATATAATTGACTTTTACTGTAATATTTGCTGCCTTTCTGTGTTAAATGTCTTTTGGATGTGGCATGCCTCTACCTTTGCCCTCTTGTGCGCTTTGTATAACATTAAAAAAAAAAAAGTTATATATATATATTCAAAAGCAAAATTTCTTCCTAAGTTCAATTCAATTCTTACTAACAAATTTTGTTGCCTTTTAAGCTTTGTGCTTAATTCGTGTTTTTATTTTTGAATAAGTTGAATTAAGTATAATTTAAAAATAAGTTATTACGTTATGTTTAAGAAAACAGAAATGATTTCTTTTTACAAATAAATATTTACATTTTAAGTTACAACTACTAACCTACTATATAACTCGATCACAAAGTTTGCTTAATGAGAAACAAAAAAAGAAAAAAATCGACAGCTGCAGCAGCCTAAAACTAAAACAAACCAATAAAGCGCCACAAATAAAGTACATGTAAACTTTGTTAATCAAATGCATATCATTTTTAACTCTGCATAAATATTTTTAATGCCAACAGACGATGCCGAAGACGGTCGAGAGACTGCTATTTCAATTTCTAGCTGCAGTCCACAGCCAGTGCCCGAGGTGCCCGATGAGCCATTGGTGAAATCGCCGCCGGAGCCCACACGGGTCAAGTCGCCGGAGCAGATTATAATGCGCTCTCCCGATCCAGTCAACTGGACGGTGCCCTTGGACACTGGCAAGACATTTACCGTCACACAAAATGTCAAAGAGGGTAACAAATTACATTGAAATTCCAGCCTCGGTATTTTGTTAATTTGCATTTTTTCCACACTCGCAGGCGAGAGCTATAGTCGACCTCAGAGCGAGATAAAGGCGTCAACACCGGTGGAAAAGCCACCACCGCCACCACAATCGGCACCGCCACAACTAACCGAACAGGCTAAAATGGACGGTAAGCCTTAAAGCACGCTTCAATAAACGCAACTTCCATAAAAAATCCAACCAAAAACCAATATGAAGTCGACATAAGTAAACACAAGAAACAAAACAAAAAATGAAATCAACAAAATAAGAAATCGCTTTTACAAATATTTATATATTAACTCGTATTTAAATATATGTATCTGTATATGTATATGTATGTATCGCTACTCACAACCATCATCCAAAATCCAATCATCGTTAAGCAATCTTCAAAATACAAAAAAATCGCAACACCAGCCAAAGCCAAACTCAAAAAACCAAGCGTAAATATAATGCAACAACTTTCCCCTCTCTCTATCTCTCTCAGTATTAAGCCAAGATATCGCAAATCAAAAACAAAAAACAATTATATATAAAAAAAAAAAATAATAATAATAATACAATCGTTAAGCCAAAATGCGTATTTCCACATAGCGTATCAAATGCGTAGTTCCTTTGCGTAACATTACAAAACACTATTTCCACAACTATTTCCCCCCCTCCAATGCCTTCACAACCACACACACACAGCCTGGAAGTCGGTCGGCAGCCCCACAGCGAGCAGCTCGTCTGGCGCTGTTTACGGCAAAACGCTGACGCCCACCACCCAGCCGGGCGGGGCGGTACGTTGCGAAGTCAGCAGCAAGCCGGAGCCGGCCCTCTCATCGTCCTCATCGACAGCGACTGCCTCGACGGCTCGTTCAGCTGCCGTTGATGTCCTGGAGAAGGCGCGTGACCGTTTCGATCGCTTCTGGGGCGGCAGCAGCAGCACCAGCGGCGCCAACAAGGAGGAGAGTGTCTAAGGATCGACAATTGTGGGTCGTAAGTGCTTCAAGTGCAAAATGTATTTGGCATTAAAGCGAACAAACAATTTGCTAAATTCAATTAAAGTTTTTGACACGTAATGTCCGCCTCAAGCATGCAAAAGCCACATACTCTAATCTCCTGCAAAATCTGCGCTGCAAAAGCTATCGATAGTGCCTCAAGTCAATAGTTGCGAAAGTCGATAGAAAGTCTGATATGTTGAGTTTCTTCTATATAATACCTCTATTATATATATTTGAAATGTTTCATTTTCCTAAGTTACAGCTTCCTTTATATAAAAAAAAGCTGAAGCGATAACGTGCAGTCGATAAAAATCGATAAAGAGAGCAAAAATAACGGTGATTTATTGATAGTTTTGCAGCAGCCTAAACTATTTCGGCTTTAAATACCTGTTTACTTGGAAAACTACGAAACAACAACATATTCGATGAATTAACGTAAAACTCTATTAAGTTCTCATAAGAGGCATACTAGGATTTCAGCTGAATTTAAATTAAATTAAATTTAAATTTAAATTTAAATTTAAATTACCCATTAATAGTAGTCAGAGAAGTCAGTCTAGACTATAATTTAGAGCGCTCCATGTGCATTACGCCCCTAAAGAATATATAAGACACTTACTTTCACTGCCTATGATCCCCCAAGAGAAATAACAGGAATTTTCGCGAGCACCCTAAACACAAGCTGGAAATAATAAAAAAGTAATTCTCGAAAAAATAAAAATCGAATTGTAATAGCATTAAACCAAGGACAACATCACCGCAGAGACCCGTCCAACAAAAAGAAAAATAATGAACAACAAACATAATGAGCTAAAGTGTTTTAGCTAAAAACGAAAACCTCAAATTTTTTGTAACTTTCATTAAGATGAAAACGACACAGGTAAATCCAATGGCAAAATACTTATGCTGAGTATATTGGGTAATGCATATAGGGTGAACTAAAGAGATCCGGCAATTAGAACACAAACTTGAACAAAAATAGATTTTGCACATGAGCTACAAATAAAACAAGAAAAAAAAAAAAAAATTAAATGATATTAATAATATTTTAAGTACACACTTTTGGCAATGATGGTTATAACACATACACACACACAAACGTACTGTACTACACAAAAAAAGAAGCGTGTCTGTATTACGAAAAACTGTGAAACTAATTTTGCGACATACATTTCAAATAATTGCATATGTATGGAATTATGTAATGAAAATACAAAGCATATGAAACGAAAAATGTGTTAGTAAATAAACAAAGACACAAGCGACAAGCAAACAAAAATAAACGCAGTGTTTGTTTACCTCACTAAAATGCTTCCCCAAATAAAAAAAGAAGAAAACAAATACTTGTCAACACTGAAAAGTAATTTGCTTGATTTATTTCTGAGTACAAAACTTAAAAAATAAAAATAAAAATAAAAAACAAAGCATATTTAAAATAAATTTGCATAAATTTTTTCAAGCGAATCTTGAGTTAATAAAGAATTAATTTAATTTTATGATTTCACAAATAAGAATTTAAAGCTTAATGTTTAGTATTTATAAAAGATATATAACTGAAGTTAAAATTTTACTTGTGATTAACTTCAGCATTGAGCTTAATTGTTGCTTGCTTAAACATATTTTTATTAAAAAAAAGTAACGCAAAAATATAAAATTTAAAAAGAAAAAAAAAAAAAAAATACAAAAAATAAAACAAACAAAGTTTCAGTGGTATTTATAAACAACAAGTTAAAGTATGTATTTTTATATGTTTTTCATTGAAAAGCTTGTCTGTTAGTTGAAACTGTTGAGTTGAAGTCTACGTCTTATAGTTAAAAGTAATCCCCCAGTTAAGAACGGAACCCATGTTATCCATGAACAAAATCAACAAACATTTGTTTATTATGCGCAATCTATGAGATTTCAAATACCATACTCTAAACTGCATTAGTTAGACACGATTATAAGCAAGAACTTTACTAAAATATATAGCCTTGATAAAGAACTCTCTCTCACACACACACTCACACAAACACTATCTTTACAGTTACAGTTCGATATAACAGAATGGCAAAACTAATGAATTAAATTAAAATTTCAAAAATAAAGATTTGGAACTCATTTAGTTTTAACTATCGTACTTACAAATTTTAGGCAACTTTAATATGAATCTACTTAAGAACAAACTCGATATATATTCTAGCTTGTTTACAAAATAAAATGTATACAACACAAAACGAAATAAATAAATACGTACAGTATGATCTGATTGGTGTGCTATATATATATGAATATGGGGTTCAAGCATGAATTTTCAAAAAAAAAAAAAAAAACTAAATTGCATATTTATTTTAGTGCCCAAAGATACATTTAAAAAATTGACTTTCACGGCAGAATGCAAAATAAACGCATTTTAAAAATGAGAAAATTAATTAAATGCAAATGAATCCTTCTAAAGAAAAATATTTAATAATTTTGCCCAAATGTCTCACATAAAACGAAACCCTAAGGCACACCAAATAGCCTTGCAAAGATTTAAAACAAAAACAATTTAAAAAAGGTCATAAAACCCTATGTACCAACTTTAAAAGAATAACTACAGAATGTGTAACAGAAACTTCTAAAAGTACGAAAATAAAAACAAATCAAGTGATGGTTAAAAAAGAAAAATAATAATAAAACTATAAATCAAATAAATGGAAAGTGCATATAAACGTTTTAAACGATGTTTTTCAATTTAACAGAAAGATGGGTAAAGAAACAACGGGTGGATTCGAAATGATCAGAATAGTATAAGACTCATATGCGCTATTTTGAGACTCTAGCTCCAAGGATGTACGACCTATTATTCAATAGCTGGATTTAGATAGGATTTTTAATCGTTAACACTATAGGTGCATTGGTTATTGGCTTTTTGAAGTCTCCAGCTCTTATATGTTCTGAGACCGATATGATACAGACAGACGGAGATCGACTTAGCTCTCTTTAAACACTCCTTCTTCTGTTTGCTGCTTTTTTACAAAACCCTTAAATCCTGATTTCTTGTTCGTAATATGAACAAGTTAATTTAGAGAAAAAGAACAATTATTTGTTTTGTGTTTTAGTTTTATTATTATTTTTGCTATTATTACATTTTTCGTTAAGAAAATTTATGTCTATTTTAATATGTGTATTATATTTTGGTAAAAGATTTGTGGTTTGGATTAGTTAACAATATTTTTTACTTGTGTAACTTGTAGATTGTGCTTTAAAGTATTTAAAATTAGAGTTTTAAATACAGAATTGGAAAATTCCATAGATTTTCAGAGATTGTTTTAGGATATTGCATGGATGATTTATATTTCTATTAGATTATATATTATTTTTATATTATATTGATTTTAGTGTTATTATGCTTTTTTTTTTAAAATAATATTATACTTTTTACAGAACCATTTAAATTATATTCTTCACGTTTAATTTAGTTTAAGGGTTTTTTTTTTTTTAGAAAGCTGTTATCACAGTATTGTTGAAATGAAATTAAAATGCATTAGGTTAATTTTGGTATGTTCGAATGTACACAACAATGAAAATATGTATGAAATAGGTGAAGTTTATAAACTAAAATATGTAATGATCATTTTTATAAATGTAATTTGGTTATTATTAAAGGTCCTTCGAAAATACATGTGTCGAAAAAATATTTAAATTGTGTTTGAGTTAGTTTCGATTGTTATTAGCTATGTTTTCTTATAATTTCTTTTTATGAAAGGATTGTTTTAGTTTGTGTTTATGCGGGTTGCTTAATAAGATCTTAAATTAATTTTGAGATTTATATTCCTTGTTATACGAGGGTTAATTGTAAGCGTAAACAGTTTCACAAATATGTGTTAATCTATGTGGAGTGCTACACGAAATCAGTGGAAATTAGTGATTACAGCTGTACAACAAATCAATCGAGTTGGTCTGGGCTCATTTATACTTCGATATCAAAAAATATAATATATAGACGTCGCTCAAGAGATTTGTTATGTATACGTTTGCATTTGCATATAGAGAAGGATGTTCCATATACCTTGCTCACTTTAGAGAAATCTCACTCAAATTGGATACAATTTGAGCAAAAATTTCGAAAGTAATATAAGTAGTTGTACATGGCTGATGTATGGAAACGATTGACTGATGATTGATAACACACAAAAAACACATTATCATATATGCAGCTATATATACATATATATTCATGTGTATATATATATACAAAGATATATGGTATGTAGTATTCATCCATATGCTATATTGAAAATAGGTAACTATCAAAATTTAGCACAATTTCTTAAACATTACACAGTTAGGACCGAGTAAACAATCAAAAGGTATACCAAAAAAGTACTGAAACACAATATTGTGAGCTTCAATGCTAGCTAAATTAATTTTCCTTTTCTTTTTGATGTTTTTTGGTATTTTGTATTCAAATAAATTTCGGGCGCTGGCGCCCCGCACCAGAACTAATCCGATATACTTAATCTTAAACTTAAGCGCTAACTCTTGAATTAATTTAAATAAACATATTAAAAGTTCGTTTTGCTTTTTGGTTATACTCAAAAAATGACACATTTAACAGACTTTTCTTTGTTACTTAAAATATTTGCATGGTTAGTTCATAGAGTGGGCAAACATTTAAATTTAGTTGTATTTAATTAGAATTAAGAATATGTCAAGGTTGATTTTGTCATTTCATAAATAGATAGTTTTGTTCTCTAACAATTGTAAAATCGAAAATTGCTTATAAATTTAGAATAATCTTTGTTTAAGGGGATTTCTTCTTGCTTTGTGTTTAATGGAGGTTTACAACTCTTGCTAAGCGTAAATCGAATTTCAAACTGTACTTACAACTAAATGCAATTTGTTAATTTTGGTTTTTTAGTTTTAGCATGTGCCACTACGTTTAAATTCGTTAATCTGCCATAATTAAATAATTTTGAATTTTGACATACGTATATATAAATATGTAATTTATATGTATATATATTTAGGTACATATTCAAAAATGAAATTCAGTTCGCTTAATTAACTAGAACAGAAAATGATAAGTCTTATCAAACCATAGTAATATCATCAATTACATTTATATTTATTTATTGGTTTTATATATATGTTTTGCTGGAAAAATAAATTAGCTGCTTCGATATATTTATTTATATATAAGTTGAGTATTAATATTTAAGGTTCTCTTTCTGCTTGTGATATTTAATTAAATACAGAGAAAGGTTGCTTACGCCTCTCGCAGCCCCCAGAATACGGGAAAAATAAACGTACTCGAGAGTTTTATTCATTTTTAGCTAAGCTAGTCTATAAGTAGTGATTGTTGTATGCATTTGTCTCATATAAAACTATATCGCTTGCCTAACACACTAAACAGCCACGCCTTCTTTCAACGATATCCCTTCATTCAACTCCATTCAAACACAACAAATTTCACATTTATCGGCGCTTTTGTATCACGCTTAGTTCTCGCTCAGATCCTTGATAGCCTGCAGGATGCGCTTGACGTGGCCCACCTTGACCACGCCCAGATCCTTGAGATCCCGCCTGCCCAGCGTAAGCAGCTCCTTGCCGCGTATATCGTTCTTGAGGAAGCTGTCCACGTACTCCGACAGCTGCATCGTCTCCAGCCAGGTGACCACCTCGTTGACGCTCCAGTTGTTGGCTGCCTCGCGGGTGTTTGTGATCGGGGGCTTGAACTGCTGCTGGCCGGCGGTCGAGCCGGAGCGCAAACGCACCCAGAATGGACGCGATTTGCGCCGTCCATCGGGCTGAGGATTAGAAAACGGTTTATTGAAGCAACTCAATTTCATCAAGACGTAGTAGCTCTTACCTCCTCGTTGGGCGCCAGCACGTTGAAGTAGGCGCGCAGCTTGCCATCGATGCACTTCTGCACGGAGCACTTTTTCAGCTCCATTTCCATGTTGGCCAGCGCAGCACTCAGCTTCGTCTCCAGATCCTCGCGCAGGATCAGACTATGGCCACGATCACGCAACAGCGTGCAGGCATCATCGTAGAGCTGGCGCGAGGAGTCAATGACCTCCACCAACTTGGTGCGCAATGAAGGGCCCTCCAACAGCTTGCCCTGCGGGTGTATGGACTCCAGGGCCTCGCTGGCACGGCAGGCCACCTCATACAGATCATGCTGCAGTGCCGGATGTGAGATGATCAAGAACTTCACCCACTTGACCAGCGAGCTAACTGCCTCGATGAAGTTCAGCAGCACATAGCACTCGCGCTCCGATATGACCTCGTCCGTGGACACGGCATGCTCGGAGGCGGTCGAGGAGGTGTCCCGCTGTATGGATATGCTGTGCTGACGCTGCTTCTCCTGCCAGGTCTTGAGCGAGACCTCCAGGCTGCGGTTACGGCACAGCATCTGGACGCGATTCTTGTGCAGAATGCGTATCATGCCCGGCGGCTGCAGCCAGGCCTCGCCATCCACCTGGATCGGTATCTCCTCGTCGCCCAGTATATTGATCTGCACGCTCTGGCACTGGGCAATGCGATGATGCTGCAGATTGATCAGACGCGACGCTGCCATCTGCACCGACCCAAAGACGGCGACCACCTCCAGCACACGATCATCGAAGCTGGGCGGCAGAAAGATGTCCTCCTTCTTGCTGCTGTTGCCCCAGAAATTGGTGCCGCCCATGAAGCTGGGTATATTCAGTATGACAATGCCCTGCAGCTCTGGCAGGGGTATGCGCTGGCCATCGCACTCCAGCTGCACGCGCTGCTCCAGATTCTTGCAGGTCTTCTGCAGCAGCTGCTTGGAGCCGAGCACGCCGTACCACATATAATTGCGTGCCCGGGAGCGACATTTCTCCGGATGCTCCTCGCGTTTGTTGTGAAAGTCGAGCGAGATCTTTGCATCGATGCCAATGCCAAAGTAATTGTTCATCACACACTTCTCGTGGTAGCCGGCGAGCAGAGTCTCATCCGGATCCATCAACGGACTGACGGCGGCGCACAGCGTGTCCGCATTGGCCATCAGGCACTTGGATATGAAGCCAGTGCCATTCGCTAGATCTGTAAAAGAGATGGCCAATATTTTAATATCAAAGTGAATAATATATAAAATAGCTGAATTTAATTAAGTGTAGATACAAAATAAAAAGAATTTTTATAACATTTTTATTCGTAATCAAAAAATTAAGTCAAGGGAAAGCTCTTCATTCTCTCCGGTTTCATTCACGGAATTTTACTTACTGGGCCAATTGGGCAAGCGAACGATGGGATTGATAATGGGCAGCTTGCGATTGGTCTCTTCTGTGGGTGTGCGCTCTTTATCCTTGCCGGGCTTTTCGTCCTTGTCGCCGGCGCTAAAGTGTTCGAAGCCGAAGAGAGTGGAGCCCATGAAGAGACTCGATTTGGAGCCCTTGAGTGTCTGCAGATTGGGCAGAGCTTCGTTCGGCTGCAAGAAAGAGTCAGCGATTAGATGGAGCTGGGAAGCAATGGGCCATTGGTGTCAAAGAGCAACTGGAAAGTCAGCACTAACTACGATACAAAGAAACATGTGGATGTGGCTGATTGAGAGAGCGAGACAGTGAGAGTGTGTGTGAGCGGCTGGAGTGTGAGGTTATGTGCGTGTGCCAGTGTTGTGTAATAGAGGACGCAGGTTTCACAAGTGGAGTTTTCAGAGAGGGAGAAGAGAGGGAGAGAGAGAGAGATAGATAGAGAGAGAGAGAGACAGGACACTACTTGGAAATAAAAATGGAAAACTTATAGTAAGCAGAGCGTATTTGAATTAGCTTTGGTTATGGAAATTGTTAAGTATTTAGTATTGGTTAACGATAGCTTATAATATTGGGTATGAGGCAACACTACTTTTCAAGACGACAACACGTGTGTAACTCAAGAAAATCAAATCAAATTGACGCGTGTGCTTTAACCACAAACTGAAACGAAAGCTGAGACTTTAACTGGCACTTTGTACAGGGGATATTACTAGAATATATTGCATAAATCTATGTATATATATGTAGTTATTTCATTTGCTGGGGTAGCGGATATACATCGAACGATCGATCGCACGATCAAAGTAACAATCGATTGAGCGAACGAACGAGCGCATGGAACGAACGAACTCAGGAACGCAGTAGAAAGGAGAGACCCCGACCTCTGGTTAACGGGCTTACCAGCGGTATTAGCGGCCTAATTAGTGCCAGGGTTGCCAGGCGAATGTCTGGTTCGGCGACCACAAAGAAACGCACACTGAACAGTCCGTAGGTGCGTTTAACGTTCAGTTTTTGGTTTCTCTTCTAAGAAAATGCATTTCGTATTCGCGAAAAAAATAATATTATGTCTATGTGTGATTATATATATAAATATATATTTATGTGTATATAGAATGTATGTGTATGTGTGTGTGTTTGAGTGTGAGTTTGAATGTGTGTTAAAGGCTTTTCAGTGTTGTTAAACTAAAAGAGAAATTCATACAAGTAGTTGACATAATTTTGAAATACGTACCAATTGATTTGTGCTTTGTTAAATATATATTGTATTTTCTTTTGTTATATTTAAGTTTGTTTGCATATATATAATTATATATATATGGTATTATTGTAATTGTATTGATTGATTTTGTGGTATATCTTTTTTATTAAAATAAAATCTGGTTTTCATAACTCAAGCGCAACTAGCTAAATTATAGTTAATGTGGCAAATAATAATAAAAACAAATATGGTATGTCTTGTTTAAGTCACACGGTTCCAATTTATTTATTTTTTAATATTCAGTTAAAGTTTTAAAAAATTTTTTTTTTATTATTATTATTTTTTTTTTTCAATTGCATAAGTTTATGGCAAGTCCTCATCAATTCTATTAGTATAAACAAAATAATGCATTTACTTTAACTACAGAGAGACTTTTCCCTTTCAACGTGAACTACGAAATAATTAAATAAATGTTATGTATGACTAGATGTAAATTTGCACCGAGAATAGCCCTGTGTATTCCGTATTAATATGCTATAATTTTTTACTTTAAATATCGCGACAATTCAATTAGAAACAATTACCTAAATTCGCATTTGTGTGAACGAGATTTTTTTGATTGGATTTCGGCATTGCCATTGCTCGGCTGACATACATATACTTTCACTTGCTGATGCAGTAGTGCCAACGTAAATCGTATATATATATATATGAATATATATATGGTATATATATATATATTATGTATATATATATATGGTATATGTGGGGGGAGTGAGCTGTTTTGGGTCAGGACTTACCTTGAAGAGACTGCCACAGCTAATTCTACGACTAGCCGCTGGTGAACTGCTGAGGAAGCGCGCATGTTCCGGGTCCAATGTTAGGAAATTTGGATTGAAACCGGAATGTCGTCGATCTTTATCCTTGTCATAGTCGCGCACAGCCAAGCTGGGCGCATGGCTCGAGTGACGTCGTATCTCCGAGGAGTTCAACGTTCGTACACCGAGCAGCGACGACGAGGTCGCCAATAAGGATGCTGACGATGCTGATGATGCTGTTGGCTTAACGGAATCACCACGCAATGGTGTTGGTGGCCTTACAACAACACTTATCTGTGGATAGTTGGGATTTACATCATCAAACGATTCTTTCTTACACGACTCATCAAAGGTAATGCGCTTTACTTCTTGTCCATGGCCCGACTTCTTAGTGGGCGATGTCGACGAGGCCATTGCCGATTCAAGAGGCTTTACTGTACTCGTTGTTGACGTTGTTGTTGTTGTTGATATTGACGATGATGTTGATGTTGTTGTGTTTGTCGTTGCATTGTTTATTTCAATTTTAATTGCAGTTTCCAGCTCGTCGCTAGTCGTAGTCGTTGTTAGATTTCGATACGTTCTGGTTGGTGCTGAGTTTGTGGGCGTGTCCGCCTCTTCGTTTTTGCCATTGTCATTGTGGTTGTCACCGCTATTGCGATCAAGCATTAGCTGCTGTTGAGATACGATTGTTGTTGTTGTTGTATTTGCATTCAATTTCTTGAGTGAAATGCGCTTTTTGGGACGCTTCACATTAGAGAGATAGATAGTCGACAGGAGCAGGAGTTATATATATTTTTTTGGATTTGATTTTGGTTCGATTTCGTTATACATTTAGTTTGTATTATTTAGAGTTCGAGTTTGGAGTTTTGGATTTGGATTTGAGGCAAGCAAGTGAACGTATTCGGTTTGTTAAATACACACGAAAAGAAAAGTTTGAAGAAAGAAGCAAACGGAGAGCAACAAAGATTTTTTACCATAAGTGGCCATGTCGGAGCACTTTCGATAAACATAACATAGCTATAGCTCTATATATAAATGCATATATCTATATGTATATATACATACATATATGGGTATATATATATACAATTTACCTACTTTGGGCCGGATCGCCGGTTAACACATACCTTGAAACTCTGACGCGCTATATCGTTACCTTCCACGAACTGCGCCAGGCTGCAGTACCGCGGCGGCTCCCGTATCTTCTGATCGTCGCAACGATTGTCGATCTCGAATACAATGTTCTCGAAGCCGAACTGCTGCGGATTGTCGTCGCTATCCATGCGTGCGAGCCCGGCTTTGCGCGGCGGCGAAGAGTTGCGTCGCCGCGGATGCGTTTTGCTTTGGACCAAGGCGCTCAGCGATTTCTTGCGCGGCGGCTTCGTTGGCCCCGCATGCTCCGAGCAGAGGGTGGTGGTGTCATCCGTGATGGTGTTGTCCTGCAGCGCATTGGTGATGTCATGGCCCAGCACCGAGCTGATGTCATCCATCAGGCTCTCGCCGGGCATGGGCTCCGTCTCATCGCTAGTCTCCGGCGAATCGATGTGCGTAAAGTTGTTCGCATCCAGATTCTACTCAAGTATAGTGATTTTATTCATAGAATAAGTAGATTCAACCGTTGGGGCTTCCCACTCACCTGTATGATGTCGCCCAGGCTGTGACCCGACTCGGGCTTATCGAAGATCTCGGATGCCACACTGCATTCCTCGTTGCTGATGGCGGACAGCACATCGCTCGCCTCTCCGCCCAGATCCTCCGACGACGACTGTTCCTGCAAAGGCAAAAGAAGAGCCAATTGAGTTTCGTTCTCGATATCTGGTTAGATAATGCCATACAGTGTTGGTCTGGGCATCGGTGTCAATTATTGTGAAATTTTCGCTCGTATAGACATTTTGGGATTGGGGGGTTACGACAATGCCGGGTACCTGTAGATTACAAGTGTGTACCAGAGCACGGTGCGGCTCCTGCGGTTCGCTTTTCTCATTGACGTCGGCCTCCTCCTTCTCGCTCTCGACCTGACCGCTCGCAGTGCGCTCCTTATCCTTGTCCATTTCCCGTGCCATGTAGTAGGTGCGCTCGAAGACCTCGATCGGTCGATAGTTGGACAAGGGATCGACTATCGGTTCGCTTGTCATGATCGGCACTCGCAGGAAGTCCACCTTGCGCTCGGTGGGCGTATTCTCGCCAGCCTCGCTGCTTGGCGACAGACGATTGCCCGCATCATCGATGTTGGCGCCACCGCTCAAGGACAAGCGGCCAACGCGATAGACTGTCTCCCCGCTGGCGCCCTCCTCCATTTCCTGGATGACCTCCGGCACACCCGAGCTGCGGCGACTGTCCGCAAATTGACGCGGTGCCGGCAAATTGATGCTGTTGAAGAAATTCTCATCCACTGAATCGCGACGCGTGTCCGGCAGCGGCGATATACAGGTCAGCCGCGATGTCTCCATTGTCGGCGAGATAATATTGATGGGAGGTATAATTGGCAGCGGCGAGCCGCAGGGCGTCGAGTCGCCCGAATTCGTTATTGGTATCTTGAGCGCCTCAAAGGGTGTAATTGAGAGCTTCCGCTGGTAGCGCTTAGGGCGGCCCGGTTCCGAGTGCTCCACCACATTGTAAATGGCACGCTTCACACTGTTCGCTCGGCACTGCAAGGCCTCCTTTTCGCTGGAGCGCAGTGAGCGGCTATTGCGACGCTCTTTTGAATTGATATTATCCTTCTCAGTTTTTTCAATAGATATATTCGGATTGCTGGAATAAATAATTAAATATGATTATATTTTAAATCTACTAAATAATATTTTTAATATTTTAATATTATTAATTTTGTGTTATTTATATAAAAAAGTTTCCCAACTATTCAATTTCAGTTATTTAACATTCGAAATTTCGTCCGCTTTCAATCAGTAAAGCCGTTGCAAACTGCTTGCATACTAAGCAGTGCATCTGCGCGACAAGCAGTGCAAATCGTTAAAATAAAAGTGTAGCATACTTTTAAGCTGTCCGGAAAAGCTTTCTCAGAATTTTTAAACAGATTAACCAATCCATTTATAAAAATTTTAAATAAAATAAAATAAAATCAAAATTATATTAATTTTTGTTTGCACATCTCATAGATGTCGCAATATGTATTTTTGACTTACAGAAATGATGGGCGTGCCGTTGTTAAGGGCCCACTACGCGATATTAAACTCCTTATGGTGGCTACCAAATCGTCGCCACTGTGCGTACCCAGCTCCTCCTCCTGCAGAGCATCCAGCAGCATTGTCAGCTTCTGTCTTAGAATGTCACATTTCATAGCCAGCTGCTCGTCGTCCTTGTGGTGCTCACAGATGCGTGAGACCAGCTCGTCGACGGTGTCGCACAGGGAGCGCGTGGAGCTTATCAACGTTTGCGTATCGTTCGTCTCGACTATGAAGCGCAAATGGTGATTGGCCGACGTGACCATGCCCGTGAGCAGAGCCTCCTGTTCCGTGGTAATCGACATCTTTGGCATCTTGGGCACCGTGATGGCTTTCTCGAACACCATAATGCTCCAGCGATCCAGCATTTTGGTGCTGGCCGACTCGTAGCGCTCCAATATCTGGGGCAGGTGGGTGTCATCATCGCAGCTGGAGCCCCAGCCCAAGACCCGGGCCAGGTCGTTGCCAGTGCCCAGCGGCATGACAGCCACCTGGCATTGTTTCTGTCACGGAATTAAACGAGCAACAATAAAGAGCGCCAATTAAAAGATGAGAGTTAAAACTTACGTGCATATTGAAACGATCGATTTCGCTGAGCACCCAGCCGACGGAGCCATCGCCGGAGCACACCAGAATGCGGAACATTTCAAAGTGGCGAAACAGTCGCAGACCCAGACTGGGCCCCGTTGAGATCAGATCGAAAACCTGCGCCGGATTCAGCAGCTGCTTGAATCGTCGCAGAAACTTGACGCCCTGATTATCGCCGGACTTGGAGTTGACAAAGACGAGTAGCGGTGAAAAGTTGCCCTTCGGACTGACCACGTCCCAGGCATCGTCCGTGCTAATTGAATGCACGCTGGTGGGCGGCACCACGGACAGCTTGGCGGGGCCAATCGGACAGACAATCGGCATTTGCGGTCGACATGCCACGTGCACCGTATCCCTGCACCAGAGGCAGCGCCAGTCCTGCAACCGCAGCACCGAGCCGCAGGTCTTCTTGCAAACGGCACACACGGCCGATACGGGCAAATTGCCCTCCATCCATTGATGCGGCATAATGAGGCTGCCATCGGGTTGCTCAATGATATCCTTGCCGACCGTTGCCAGCGTTGTCCACTTGCAGTTGGCAATCGCCTTGGCCGCACATCGCTTGTGCACCTTGCACTTGCACACCTCGCAGCTGAGCCCGTGCGACGTGACGCCGGAGAGCGCATCGCGGCACACATTGCAGTAGGTGGGTCGCGCATGGGAGGTCGCATACCAGTGATGATGATTCGAGAGTATGTCGTGCTGATCAATCAGGAAACTATCGCCACGCGGACGCTGCGGCGCCGTCGCTGTCTTCAGAGATCCTAGCCAGTCCTCCATTTCGCGTCTGGAGTCGGCGCACAGCACCAGAGAGCGGGTAGGTGTTATTATCTGAAAGAGAAATGTGAATTCCTTGATCGATCATTTTCGTTTTATGGGTATGAAAGAGGTGTAATAGGGGTTTGTTAAAGTGGTGTGTGTGACAGAGCCCCGTAATGCATATATGTATATTCCTCATCAGGAATAGCTGAGTTGATTGAACCCTGATCTGATGCCTATGAGAGCTAGAGCCTAGAAATTTTGTTGGGTACCTATACCTATATCTATACATGCATATGTATATAGCAAGTGCAGAACACTAATGCTAATTCAAATGTTATAGAATCAAATCGACTTAAAAATGCAGCTATCAAATTATTATCTTACATGTTTTTGGATTGATATATAGATACATATAAAATTTTTATTTAACTATTTTTTTTTTTGCATATCAAATTTTAGCAAATTCCTTAAATTAAAGGAATATTGCCAATATGTGAATGAGTTTGCATTTTGTTCTTTAAATGACAAATATTCAAATTGCATTCAAATTCGTGAAGGAACGTAGAAGTTATTAAACAAAACGTTTGGTTAATTGGCAGCAGAACGTGCCACGCACATTCCCATACATCCGCACACATACACAAATTTATTTATACTTATTATGCGTGAATTCTAGCATGTTCCATGAATCGCAATTGTGATTGAATGTATGATTTTCCAGCTATTGTTCAAGTTTAGATTTTCTAGATGGTGCTCGAAGTGGCGGTGCTGGTAAAGGCGGTTGTTGATCCTGAACTCCAGGTGGCCGTTGGGATTCTTTATTTCTCAATTTTTGTTGTTGTTATAAATATGATGTGGCTGTATTATTAGATTTCCCAGAAGGTCTCTATTCGCCTCAAGAGTCGTGACTTCGTGTATGCTTAAAGCTAAATGTTTGGCTAAAGATTTCTCTTAAAAAGCAGAATCAGCATTTTCCTTTTTTTTTTTCTTTTTAGTTATGAATAATCATTTCTGTTGTATTAACGAACAGTTGCACATGTTCAGCTGTGTGCACATTTGCTTATAATAAGAGGCACACACACATACAGACACACACACACACATACGTATAGTTACATATTAACCACATGCAAGACTCACTTATTAGTTGTGTAATCAAAGATGGGTCTATTAGTTTCTATGGCCTCATTAACATGCAAATAACTCTCATATTTATGTTAATATGCAGACAGGAGCGCCCGCCACGCCTTCTCAATGGAGTGGAATGCGCTAAACAATGCGCCAAGCCCTCAAAGTTCAACAAAAGCTGTGTGGGGCGTATTATTATACGCCTCGGCCACAGCGCTTCCCAGCGCCCTCAAGCCCCCCCTACCCTCATTTCCTTACAGTCACAATTAATGTGGGATCTACTCTGGCATACGCAACAGCAGAGATAATAATGAGGCCAACTAAAGCACGTCAGCTACCTGATTATGATTTGCTTGTCGTATTGCCTAATTTATGGCCCGTATGTCCTTCACCGTGCCTATCCTTGGCAGGCGCTGCTGCTGCTGCTACTGCTGCTGCTGCTCGTTTAGTGGCCAAGTTCATTCGGGTAATTGATGTTACAAAGTTGTTGTTGTATGATTAAATTAATGAGTTAACATGGCGTCTAGCCAGGGACCTTGGGCGAGCCTTGGCCATGTTTGCAACGTTGATTAGCTAAGCGAGCCATAGAGATGAACCAAACCAAATCGAATCAGGCATTGCTTAACTCTCGCATATAGAAGGAAATCAAGCTCAAGTATACAACAAAGAGATTCGTAGCCATAGGACGCCCTTTTAAAGCCCACAGTTCAATAGGTACAGTTGACCCATTTAACGGCAGTTGACATGCCATGCCACATGCCACATCCCACATTCCGCATGCCGCATGCCAATGTCATAGCTGGCTGACACACATTGACTGTATCCACTACGGCATGCAGCGCTACCTTAGTCATAATGGATATGTGGAAAAGGTTATGACCACGTCAACAATATAATCTACTTCAAGGGCCAACCCAGAGACAGAAAGCAAAAATGAAATAAGCCGCTACCAGTTAACGTCCTGAGTCCACGAAACGGAGCAGGAGCAGGAACCGGGACAGGGGCTAATCCCAAGGATTGTGGTTCACCTCAAAAGCTCATTGAGCTAGAAGTGCCCAGCTGCAAGTTTGCGAAACGAAAATCAAAGATGAGCGAGAACTATTTAAGGGGCCGACATGAATTGGCCAGAGTAAACAGGACTTAGTCAGACCTAATGCAATTTAGCAGTAGCTCATGGTATACTATCCAATATAGAGGGATACCCTTATCGCACATCAGTGCTGGGGTTAGGTGTGAAGTGAGATAAAAGCATTAGAAAGCAATTTGGATGGTTGACTGGCTTTCGAGCGGCAGACACAAGTCAACCTCATCTCTAATTACATTCTGTGGCATTAATTGGACTTAATTCGTCTGCTGCCTTTAGCAATGACTGTTTGAGGTTTGCTTGAAAGGTTGCAATGTTGCAATTAGTGCAACCAATGCCACAATCTAACCGCATCAACAGATATTTGCATCAACCAAATCGCTATTCTCACTGAGCTTTTGAGCTATGCACTCGCATTCGCCGTCGCTGATGCAGTCGCCCCTCGCACTCGCCCCCGTGCTGCCAGTGGGCTTTTGCTATTCAATTAATGCCGCACTGCACGTGCCTGGTCTCTTGCCACCTGTCTGTGGCACTTGCAACATGAATATGCTTTCATGGCTGGCTGGCGCCTGCGGTTTACCTGTCACTCACTCACATTCTCTTTGTCCGTACGCTGGTCTGTGGCACTGGTAGCCTGGTAGCCCCATTGCTGGCTGCCTGCAGCGCCCTATCCGTCTGCCACGCCCAGCTCGCCTTTCACTGGGGCGGAAATTATTTGCTTTTTGGCCAGTGACCATAAGTCGGCAGCACTGCATTATTGCACGGTATTCAATTACCTTTAAACTTTCACCCATCGCCTCTCGAGCATTATTCAATTTCACTCTCTGATCATTTTCAATCGAACTTTGTGTTCCAGAAGCGAAACCCGATTTCAACTATTGTGAGAAGTTAAACTCAGTTAATTAAATGTGAACGATGCGTATTTCACCTCCGCATATTGAGGTTGTCAATAAAGTTTTCGAGATAAGATATTATATATCAGGTAATTAATTAACTGTAAAGTTAAGTTTATGGATATGATGTAATACCAGATGCATATTGATGCCAGCGTATTTCCAAATTGAAAATTATCGGCTACTTTAAATAACTTTAAATCAAGATAATGTTTGGTTTATATAGATTGAATTGGAATGCAGGAATATTAAGAGAATCGAAAGATATTAGCATTTCAGCCATAATGTCTTTATTTTTTCCAGCATAAATCGATAGATTTTGATATATGATATGAATCAATAGCGAGAAAGAGAAAAAAAAACACTGGTTAAATGTTAAATCTGCTATCATGTTCTTGCCTAGCAAATATTGTTAATCGTTTTTCGATTTCTTTATATAAGCGTCTTTCACTCCCACTCTGATACAATACAATACTCAGAGGGCAACTGGTTGCATTGGTTCTTCAACAAGCTCATTTGCGATTGACCAGAAACATTTTTTCCGCTCTGGTTTTTACAGTCTTTTGTATGTGTTGGTATGCATCGTTCACATGCTCACTTACTCAGTCTCATTTTGCGAACATTAATCGTATCTCGTCTTAAAGTGAGTTCGGTAAAAGAGCGTCACACGAATAGCTTATGAACCGAAAGCTCGTTATCAGAGCCAGAATATGACTTCCCGGTTGATTTCGCAAACAGATCGATAAGAGAAATGGGTAAGATTTACTTCAGAGATAAGCTTACATCACAATTTTAATGTGATATGATAAAGCAGCATTTCAAGATGTTGATTTATTTAATTTTCATATTACGTTTTGGCAGTGCATTTTATATAAATCACTTCTCATGTGGTCATAATTATATTAAAATACTCAAAAATTATAGTTTTTTTTTTTTTAATTTCTTGTAAGCGCAAATCGGGTGAGTGTACAACTACTGCTGTCAGGTAGTAGAATGTATGGCCAGAAACTATTTGAAAAGCTGTAATATCTACTTTAATTTTTCTTTTTAATTTCTTCGGAAAATTTCGCTTTAGATAGCATTAATGAATAAATGAATTATTTATTTAAATCAAATATGGTGTTAGCAACTGTTGGCACAGACAAATTTACTGTTGGGTTGTTTGCTTAACACTTGGCTAAATCTAAGCTAAAGTTAACATGCTGAGAGTAAAGCTACCAGAAAAGTTATACCAACAAATCTGAATGACAAATGGTTGTTCAGCAAACATCATTATTTCCTAAAATTAAAATTGTAAATAGACCGCAAGAACAAAGCGTAATAGAAGTTTATTATTCATATACCATTTCTATAAATGTATGTATTTATTTTGAAGCGTTAATGGAATGGGAAGCAATAAAAATTCAAAACTTTTAGAATGTACATTAACAAGACATAATTAGTTTAGGCAGACCACAAAGTGCCACAGAGATGGCTGGCAGAGTGGCTTCTATAAGCAAATTGATATTTTACAGGAGGCGTAAAATGCTTGCGGTCACTGTAATGCAGTGAAGGCACTTGAAAATGACATTGACATCAATTTTATGGGCAAGAGCAAAAGGGAATAATATATAGCATAAAAGAGTCTGAATAAAAAAATAATAATAATAAAGAAAAAATTACAAAACTATTGAAATTAATGTAGAATTAGGTCAACATGACAAATAAAACTTCCCAGTTGTATTTTTATAAAGATTCTTAAAATGAGAACAATGAACTCGAGTTTATGATTTACAAAGACAAGGCAATAATTTATATACAAAAGTTGCGGGAAATGTTTGTTTTTAATGAGTTTCCACTGGAATATTTATGAGAGCTTGCCTCAGGGAGGACCAGTCGAACAAAGTATTTAGGTAAGCAAATTGGAAATTAAGTATATCTGTGCACGATAAATCAACAGTTCTAATGCGTATATATAAATATTG